CCCCCCCGTGAAACAGAGCGATTAGCGCAGCCTCTGTCAGTGTATTTCTGTCAAGAGGCCGAGGGGATGGCAGGAAGTGCAGTGATGTTAAGCTGGTGAGGAAAGGTGGCAGGTGAGTGTGTCTCTCCATCTCTCCAGGGTGACGTGGGCCTCATCCCCCGGATCTGCGAGGGCTTGTTCAGCCGCATCTCCGACATGAGCCGCTGGGACGAGGCCTCCTTCCGCACCGAGGTCAGGTAAGGGACAGACTCTGCTCCCATAATGGGTGTAGTGGAGCTGCACAGCCTGGTGGGGGCACCAGTTGGGTGGAGTGAGTTGGTTGGTGGTGGTGCAGGGCGAAGAGGGGCGACCTCACAGTGTTATGACAGTACACAGCGCGTGTGTAGTCCTGACTTCGTACATCTTCTGTCTCTGAAAAAGTGAGCCATTTTCTGTCGATGAGGTCATTTTTTTTCTCAAAAATAGCCCTCGAGATGTCATTAATTGCGCAGGTAGCCCGGTTCCTTCTGGCTGTGAGGTTGATCAGTGTTGTACACTGCACTACCTGTCCTGGATTGATCTTTTTATTCATGCACTTTATACGGCACCAGGGCCTTTGTGGGGAGGGGCGAGAGGATTTTTGAGATAAAGTTCTCTGTTCGGTGCCGGAGATCCATAATCTCAGGTACTCAGCGGGACCCCTGGAAGCTAGGCTTGGTTGTTAATTATCCCGCTCGTCAGGCAGGAAGTGTCTGTCCGCCCGGGGGGGGCCGGCCTCATTTAGGAGCCGTCTAATGAGTTATAAACGCTTTGGAAGGTCGGCGCCAAAGCCAGCACGGGCCGCTCGAGGTCACCGGTGGGTGAGGGCCAAGCCAGACTGGCATCACCGGCAGGGGGGGGGGGGGGCTGAACGCCATATTACCTACACAGAGAGACGTCCGTTTTCTGGACTCTGTGAGCTAGGAGTCATTGCGTGGTGTCCTGAAAAGTCCCGATGATTAGTGCTGTCTGCACCATTAATGTTTCCACCTCGCATATTACTCGCCCCCCCCCCCCCCCCATGTTCTCTATCATGTAAGCGGACATTAAGGCGGCCACGGGGAGCATTAGCCCTCCATTTGCACTTGTGTTCATTATTTCGTTTGTCAAAGACACAGCGAATTAGGGATCCGCTCTAGGATCACATCAGCAACTGAATGCAATTAATCAGCGTCGCGTCCGGCGCTAATAGCTGGTGACTCTGTGGTAGCTGCTTCATTAAAAAATTTCCATGGAATGTTTTTGAAAGGCTACTTCTAATCTCTATGCCGATATGCAAATATGACGAGAATAGTCCCATGTCTGATGCGCTTGTGAGCCGTTTCCTGCTCTGTGATTGGTTAGTTTTGATGTTGACATGTATCTTGGTGCATTTGTCGCTCTGCAAAGCTTCAGGAACTTTGTATTTATTTTCCCGTTGCTGCGCTTTGGTCCATGCCATTCAGCGTTTGACGGGCACATATTTTTTTGTTGAGATTTTGAACCATGGGATTTGCGGCAATGAACAACACCCGTTTTCTTTTTTTAGTTTTGAAGGTGTTCTCTGTCCTCAGCTACTTGGAGATCTACAACGAGCGGGTTCGGGACCTTCTGCGGAGGAAGTCCACCAAGACGTTCAACCTGCGGGTTAGAGAGCATCCCAAGGATGGCCCCTACGTGGAAGGTAAGCTGGCTGGGTGACCCATGATGCCGAGGGGCTGGCTGTCCTTCACCGTGCCTGATATCAGGTGTGACATTCCTCAGATCCTGCGTTTGGGAATGATTTCTGGTTTCACCCAGTCATTCCAGTGAGCCACAATAACCTGCCATTTACATTGATTTTGCAGATACTTTTATGCAAAGCAACATACATGTGTGAAAGCAGGGTCACATCAGCCAATCTCTGGAGCAACTGAGGATAAGGGCCCATTCTGTGCAACATGGGATTGGAACTAGTGACCTTCCGATTACAAATACAGGATCTTAACCCACTGAGCCACATGCTGCCCTGGTTTAGGGTTTAATCTTACTATTTTGGTGGGCAACTTCGAGAGAGGTGGCACTTCACGCTAAAGAAGCTATGATGGTGCTTGAGGTGTTCGTCACCTCTTATCGAAAGGGCAAGAGGCATAAATTTAGCTGTAAGGGGCATTTTTACCATCACTTTCTGTGTACATTGCCGCCCTCCCCCCCCCCACCTCAGACCTATCGAAACACCTGGTGCAGAACTACGGTGACGTGGAGGATCTGATGGAGGCCGGCAACATCAACCGCACCACGGCGAGCACGGGCATGAATGACGTCAGCAGCCGCTCGCACGCCATCTTCACCATCAACTTCACGCAGGCAAGCGTGGTGATCCGGGGCGCTGCTCTCGCGGGACATGGCCTTACAGCCCCCTGCAGTGAACCCCTCTTATGTTCTCGTGGGTGTCTCGCGGGGGTGCACAACGACTTTCTCCTCATTGACAAATATAATAAAATAGCAAAACGGTGTGAGTCATATTTTGACTTGCTGAACATCATTTAAAGAAAATACGCTTCAGTAAATGTACTCGCCGTTACTTTAAAGCCGCGTTTTTTAAGTGTGTGGAACTGAAATGCTCCTCATTAGCAGATTTGTTAGTGATGTTTACCCTGAGCTCAGACACACCATTATGGTCATCCCAGAATGCTATCTGCTTTTTTTCCCGGTTTGTCTTAAACCCGATGCCTTTATTGACACATGGCTTTTTCCGTTAGGAAACCTGTCTGCATTGTGCACTTCTAAATCAATTATTCAATTAATGAATCAATTAAGTAATCAGTTGAAGGGCGGTGCAGCTCTTTTTACAGTCGCCTTGTGCGATGAATGAACTTTCCCCTTGTCTGTGGCGACCCCGGTTCGATCGTTCCTCGCTGTTCGTCCGCAGGCTAAGTTCGACGCGGAGATGCCCTGCGAGACCGTGAGCAAGATCCACCTGGTGGACCTGGCGGGCAGCGAGCGGGCAGACGCCACAGGGGCCACTGGTGTCAGACTGAAGGAGGGCGGCAACATCAACAAGTCCTTGGTCACTCTAGGCAATGTCATCTCGGCGCTGGGTGAGGACGCTGCGCGTCATGTGACCTGGGACTGTTGGCTCAGCAGTACTTACCACAGAAAGACATATGGCCTTCATGCAAATTGGTCATATATACTGCTTGTTAGAGCTAAGTACCATGGAGAATAAACTTATGAAAGCTTTTATTTGCGATTAATGGAAAAAAATTAAACGAACAACAGTCATTAATCAGACATGGGATTTTAGGGCATCCTTGTAGGATATATTATGTGTTTATAAATATTCAAAGGGGATGTTTTTTTTTTCTTTTAGAAGATGCTTAGGCTTGAAAACACCGCAGCCAGGGTGTCTTTGCCAGGCTTGAGTAACGTTCGCTCTCCTCTCCTGCCTCCAAGCTGACCTTTCTCAGGACAGCAGTGGGGGCTCCTGTGGCAAGAAGAAGCAGGTGTTTGTGCCGTACAGAGATTCTGTGCTGACGTGGCTGTTGAAGGACAGCCTGGGTGGGAACTCCAAGACCATAATGATTGCCAGTGAGTCTCCCTGGGTCAGAAGCCTGAGATCTCGCCCTGAGGGAGATCTCGTCCTCAGAAAGATCTCGTCCTCAGAAAGATCTCGTCCTCAGAAAGATCTCGTCCTCAGAAAGATCTCGTCCTAAGAGAGATCTTGTTTTAATTCTCACACAGTACCAACTACTTTATCAGAGATCCCTAGGCAGCTCCAGTCATTTTATTGTATCTGGACTAGTGTCTAAATATTAAAGAGCTTCTGCAGTTGCATCACATTATGGCTTCTTTTTTTAAAATCTATTTAAGGGCTTCATGAAGGACTTTAATCTTTGTTAATGACTTAGAACTGAAATGTAGCTTCACTTCTGCTGTCACTGCCATCTTGTTGCCCGACAGCCATCTCGCCCGCCGACGTGAACTACGGCGAGACACTAAGCACGCTCCGCTACGCGAACCGGGCCAAGAATATCATCAACAAGCCCACGATCAACGAGGACAGCAACGTGAAGCTGATCCGTGAGCTGAGGGCGGAGATCGCCCGTCTGAAGGCACTACTCGCCCAGGGCAACCAGGTCAGCCCCCGGCCCCCGTCGCCGCTGGGCAGTGCAGGTCAGGCCGCAGGGGTCCTGCTCTCTCTTTTGATGTTTTCCGTGGTGCTACCTACCGCCTCTCACCTTCTCAGATTGCGCTGCTGGACTCGCCCACGGCCCTCAGCATGGAGGAGAAGCTTCATCAGAACGAGGCCAGAGTAAGCCCATCATTGTTTCTTGCCCCCAAATGTGTGGCGGTCCCAAAGCTGCTTCTTCACCCAGAAATCCCCGAGCTACCTCTATCCATGCCCCGTCCCACTGATCCCTGTAATGTGCTTCACCTGATGGTTCAGTGAAGACCACCTATCTTCCTTGGGGTGGGTGGTTCGTGCCATCAGCGTCTAGCCAATCTGATATTGATCCCTTCAATGTCTTCCAGGTCATTGAACTGACCAAGGAATGGACGAACAAATGGAATGAAACCCAGAACATACTGAAGGTAAGTCGACATTCCAAACCTGCCGGGGAATACCTACTTATCCAGTGGGATTCCCTGTTAGGCCTTCTTGCAGCCGCGAGCCTGGTCCTTTTAACACACACCACTCTGTGCCAGTGTTATATTTTGGGGCCATATGGGAGTGTCTGTTGGGTCGCTTCCTCTCCTCCGTCATGTGACAGGGGTGTGTGGTGGGAGCCTGCCTGAATGGGGGCCTCCTCCACCCCAGTGTGCCATTATGAAGTGATGCTGCTCCTCAGCCAGTTTTAATAAACTTGTATTTCTTTTTCTTTCGGCTGTTTGCACATGGCAGTATTTTTTGGTGACACTGGCTTAGCAACTATAGCATCATAGGTTACTAGGCAACCATCCTCGCACATGCCAGTCAGTGGCGATCAGCACGCAAAGTGGGCGGGGCTTAAGGAGCGTTTGTCTCGCCGGTGACCTCTGCAGGCGAGGCCGGGCGCCCCCATCCACTTCTCACCGACAGAGCAGAGAGTGTCCAGCGAGGGGGGCTTCGGACATTAGCATGCAGCCCCCGTTCTGGTTGCCCTCGACGCCGCGGCCCTCCACACCCCTGGCTTCGCCCGTGGGGAGTCGCTCAGAGCTGCAGAAGGCTCTCACCCCCCCTCCCCACCAGCCCGCGTTGGGGTGACAACAAACAAACCTGACAGATGGCCCGGCGCTGCTTCAGAGTTCGGCATCCGTTCCACCCTGAACTGGGCCCCGAAATGGCACCTGTGTTATATATATATATATATATATATATTTTATTTAGCTGGCACCTTGTATGTTGTCGAGGGTGTTTATTATTTTTTTTCCACATCCAGACGTCGAGGGACCAATTTGTTGTTGGCCCCAGATATTTCCAGGAACCCAGACAGCACTGCGCTGTCTCCTGCATTCTAATTGGTCGCCTTTGTATAGACTGGAGTTTCCGAGAGGCTTACCGCTTCCATTGTGACTTTTTTGGCATGCCTGGCAGATTTATTCTTGCTAAATAATGAGCGTTTTAGCAGGCTTTTAATTGATTTTGATTTATTTTTTTAACTGATCGTTTTCCAAATCCATCTCGCCAACGAGCTGGAGAAGGGAGCCAGATTAACGTAGCTTCTGTGGTGACGCTGATCTCCGGACAGTCCAGCTCATTTGCCTCCCGCACCCCACGCCATCCGGAATGTTCTGCTCCCCATCAGAAGAGAGGGTGCATTCTAGCCCCACATGGGATAGTCTCTCAGGAAAATAGCTGGAATATATTGGCAGGGTTGTGTAGAATGTAAATCGGAGACAGATGTGAGGGTTTTGGTCTCTGTGGCCGGCCGGCAGCTGATGAAAGGAAAAAATGTCTTGGAGCTCCTTGACACGTTTTTCGAGACTGTCGCCAAAACTTTGAGTTCGGGTGGTTTGGGACCCGGCACATTTGTGTCATGGCTGCAGATGGTGCCATTGCCTAGGGGTCAAACGGTCAGAGCTGCCAGTGGGACCCGCCATAGGCCTGACCCTCAGCAGCAGCAGCGGTAGAGATCGTTCGGCCTTGTCCTGCATCCGACTCCTTGCAGTTCACCCGCACGGCCACTAGGTGCCTCTGCAGAACCACCGAAGATGCTTGCCGGGGAGCCCCATTGTGGGATGCAGACGGAACGAGTCCGTCCGGCGTCTCCGTCACATTTTTCAGTTATTTACAGCGGAATTGCAACCAACAGCCATTAAACCAATTTAATGATCCTGAAGTCTATATCTGACAGTGTGAACAGAGTGAGAGGAGTGGAATCAGATCAGAGGGACGAGTGCGAGCCCTCCCCATATGGCGGATCGCTGCTTATTCCTCTGAAGTTTACTGTACTGTTTGTCAGAGCGGGATCCAGGCATCATTAGGAGGCTGACGGGGAAGCGGTCCGTGGTCGTGCTTAAACGCTCTCCTGGCGTGAGGGGGCAGATATTAATGCACATCGCGTCTGCGTGTGTTCTGTAAAATGTATTTTTAAATTTTATTATCAGGTGAAATGTTTTGGATAATGTGTGTCTGTGTGCGTACTGTGAGATAAAGCCGGTGGGGGGGGGGGGGGGGGGGGGGACGCCGTGACGGGCAGTTTAAGCATACTGTGCTTCTCGCAAATGTCGCAATAAAAGCCCAAGCGAGCATCGCGACATCTTTACAGCTGGAAATAGGACTAGATCAACGTCGTAAAAAGTGGCAGCCTGACAAAGTCGCTACTGAAGACCAAGCCAAGAGAAACCCACCTGATGTCATGTGAGAGAAGCTGAGCCGCGAGTCGGGTTTTAAAGGCCCAGTGCCTGTATAAGACCCTGCGCGTGTACGCCACCTTCATGAGAACAGGTGTGGCGACTTCTAAAGTTACCGCGGCTTCCATAAACATTCTCGGCGATCGCGGATTTCGGCAGCGGACCATGAATATTAAAGCTGGAGATACGATTATCACGCATGTCAACAAGGTTCCCCAAAGTGACCTTGCGAGGATGGCGGCACGCGGAGTCGTGGAAATGTAATTAACAGCCGCTCGCGTTTCCTGCGCGTGGGCCGGGAAATGTGAGACCGCAGAACAATCTGCGATTAGCGGAAATGTGTTTATTAAGTCTGTTAGCTCCCCTTCCTCCCGCTGCTCGGCGTACAGTGGCTAGCCGCTGCGCCCGCAGGTCTCTTCATGCAACATTATCACTGCATCTCTGCCCATCCTGGTCACACACAGAGGAGAGGAGACTTTGAGCACAGTGAAGGTCAGTCTCTCAGCTGGTTGACAGGTTATATGGGTTGCCATATTAAACAATAATGTTTCTTCTAATAAACAATTAGCTCCTGTATACTAACAATGACATTAGCTATACACCAAATAAAAATCTTGAGACCTGTGAAGATTTTCCCCCTCCAAAATGCATAATGAAAGTCAGCCTCTGAGCAGATCTTATCGTTGGGAAGCTATATGAGTTACTATATGCAGTGCTATGCAAAATTCTTTGCCGTCAATGGAGATGTTTACATGATCTTCGTGTTGCATATAAAACTATGATATTATGCCTGTTAAAGGGTGTTAACGTAACCATTTCGAAACTCACTCCAGGATTTGAGGCAACCATTCAGTACATCCATGTATTTTTTTTTGACTCGACCACTACCCTACCTAGTGTGGCTAATCAATATCTAATTGATTTTTAAAAAAACTATTTTGATAATTAGTTAAGCGATTGATTGATACCTTAGTACCTTAAAACAGTACTGTTTCTTTAAATATACTATTAGCCCCTGCATGCTAATCATAGCATTTGCTACACACCAAATAAAAATCTTGAGATTGGCGATTATTTCGCTCACTAAAATGCATGTTTTCTCTTTTACACACTGCGAGCATACACACATTTTCCATGTCTTATAACAATTTTCTGATATTACAGTTTTGAGGTGTGAATGTGTTTAACTGATTATTTATTACATTGACCCAATGACAGCTGCAGTGGTGGGCCGGACCAAACTTATGGTGCTGATGGCATCAGTCAGAGAAAGCAAAGCGGAGAAGGAGCCTCAGGGATCCTACCGGGTTTCCCATCATGGTGTAGGACTTCCCAGAGCCTGTCTGACCATAGGCGAAAATGCAGGCATTGTAACCCTCGAAAGCAGCCTTGAGGACATCGGAACCCAAGTCCTTGAAGACCTGCAGTGACACAAGAGCCAATCAGGGTGAGACTGGGAAACCCCCAGACCAGGAGAAAATCAAGAGCAGCAGGAGACTGGGTTGCCTCTGTCCCTTAGCAATAACATCAAGTAATTTCATAGACAGTAGGCCTGTGAACAAATTCTTGGGCTAAACTCAAGAGCGCCCCCTGGCTTTGGTGGAAGCGTCGACAGTGCCATCACCAGATGAACAAACATTGAGGTGGACAGTATACGATAGTCCAGGCAGTGAGGAGAAGGAGGCTGCAGACAACCCAGTCGGCAGCTACAGGGCACCTACAGCCGTCCTAATGTGATTAAACACACATCATTTAAAGTGGCGGCGTCACCTCCAACGCGCCTGTCTGCTGCAAATTCAACAGCTGGCAAACTGCGTCACATGACTCACCTCTGCTCCCCTTTATCACCCATATCAGGCAGGAGGGACCATGCAGCAAAGAGTCAATGATACGGGGGAACACGGGCCCATCAATTACATAATGAAAACCCAGAAATGACGGCGCACGGATGCTTCTGAACTTCATCTGCGGCTTTCCCAGAAACCCCGGCGTACATTAAGAAAGCGTAAAACTGTCTATGTGACTTGGTGCTCTGGATTACGGTATATGTTAAGTAAACATGTCATTAAAAAAAACAGCCACTTAATACTAATGACATTCACATGGCACTAGCCCACCACTGCGTGCCAGAAGCCGTTATGCATCGATATTGTGATGAGATTCAGAGTTTGCTTTCATTTATCCTTCTGCGGACTCGGCCTTGGGGAGGGATTAAAGGGCCGGCAAGCACCGTGGGTACTGACAGATGTCCGGAAACTTCCACCTGGCATCTACCTTCCAGACTCTGCCAGGGGAGGCAAGCAGGGCTCTTAAAAAGAACTAGGGCGTCGGCGTCGACCTTAAGCAGCCGTCGTACCATTTTAAGCGAGCGGCAGCCATTTCTCCTTCTCACATCGTCTTTTAAAGGCCCAATTTAAAGGCGACCCGCGTCTATCCTTTTGCAGGAGTGTGCATCGCTTCCTCTTTGCGGAGGGAGATGAAAGCAGAGCAGGTTTCCTGATGTTCCCTGGGGGAAACGTGGGCGAACATCGGTGACAGCCGGCCATCCCCGTGCGGATACGCTTCCCAGGGAAGTACCGACCCCTCCCGACTCATCCCCAAACAGAGATCAAATCTCCCACTCCCCTCACCCTCGTGACGGGAAGCAGAGCTCGGATCGTCAATTAGCGCAGAGATATTTAACAGACACCATAAATCTGATGCTTCAGGACAGTCGCATTGCCTGGAGAGTCTCCTTTTAATCAAAGCCAATGTCCAAGTTAAGAAAAGAAAAGAAAAAACATCCCTTTAATCAACAGTGAGAAAGCGAGCAAAAGAACACATATATTATTCTTCATCTCATGCAACTGACAGCTTGGTTATCTGTCTACGGACCCGTGACTTTTAATAACTGCATAAAAATACCACCATTCCTCAGGAGAATTGCTGATATGATCCACATCAGAAGGCCTCACACGTCACACATCTACTGAACAGACACCAGACACGCCAGGCCTCAACGAACCCCTCCAACAGCAGCTCGGCAAAAGCTGACAGAAACCTTTCTCTGGTTTTCAGGAAGGGCTCTGGTCTTTCTCACAAGCTGTGATTTTTCATCCGGAAAAATAATACTGCAGCTGTCTGGGTCTTAGGTGACAGTCTGCTGAACATACCAAATATTCTTACAGGGACGGCTTAATATTGAATAATTGAATAATGCGGATCCCCTTTGCTATGACAGATAATTAAACATTTACAGTGAATCCCCTGAAATCACTGCACATTAGGAAACAGCCGACTGGCAGTTATAATAACCAGTTACTAATGTTGCAGCAGTGGAAGCTTATTTTTTTTATACTGTATAAGACACGCTAAAGCCATGATCCAGAAAAACACTGGGGGGAAAAAATGTAAAAAAAAATAAATAAAAATAAAGTTAAAACTCATTTTATTCACACTCAGGCCTTTAACATTATAGCACTTAATATTGTTCAATCGTACTTCAGAACCAGAATGTAAAATCTGTTTTGCTGAAAGTTCAGTAAATGCATCCACATCTTTGCAAATAAACAAACAAACAAACAAACAAAATAAAACAGAAAACAGTTATGTAGCTATTATCTTTACTTTTTGTTATTAGGGTAAAAAAAATTATTTGGTCTTGAACCTAATGTTTTGTTATGTCATGAAGTTTCAAAGCCATATTGATCTATTATTTTAAAAAACTATTTAATATCATATTTTCAACAGCAGAGAGAAGGAAGCAGGCAACTTTCCAATACTATTTGTATCCAGTAATAAGGTGTAAGCCTTATAATTGGGGCATATTTGGAAGTTTGTAGTTCGCAGTTTTAGCAGCAGAGCACACGGTGCTATTGAGAGCTCGGACTGCATAAGCTGGGCGATTGTCTGAACCTGCGATTAATGCATTAATCTGCTAATTGTGGAAACCGCTTGGTGATCAACTCTCGCAATCAACTCTCGAGTAGTGGGCCCCCCGGGAAACAAGCTGGAGACTCACACAGTATCAACCCGCTGTTATCCTGAGTCTTTCCCATGCAGTATGATGCAGGAAAACACCATTCCAGTCCTTTGCGGGTTATATACAAATTCACATACACAATCACACTGCAATTTAGAGTCACCAATTAGTCTGCCTGTCTGTCTGTCTTTCGACTGTGGGAAACAAGCAGAGCACCTAGCACAAAAAAAAGAACACACAAGCAGAACATGCAAAGTCCACACACAAGAAACAAAGATGGGATTCAAACTCCCAACTCTGCTACACAATACACTACCAATAAACCAAAACTGCTGTATCAGCTACATTAAAAGAAAGGGCAAAGATTAAATCTGCACAAAAAGAAACCCTGCCAAATGTTACTCGACTGCTAATCTCAACCAGTGATGAGCTACTGACACACTCTGATGGAAACAGTCGTCATATTCATTATGCTTTTCTGTCAGGGCTCAGCAAAACTCCCTGTACTAAGGGAAAAGAATATTGTGAAGGGTCAACCCACCACTGCCCACTAGGTGGTGCCCTAGGAATGAAAACCAACAAATTACATCTTTCACCTAATAAATTGAAAATACTGCAGTTCTGCTTCTTCATGAGAATAACCTGCAGAGAAAAAAATACTCACTAAACATGGCTTAACAAGGAAATAGCACTCATTCTGGCATATTTTTACCAGTAATAAGCCGATCCCTAAATTAGACCAAAACAACAAGTAACCCTTTTCACCTGACCCAGTAACATGTGTCAGCCTGGAACGAAACATTCAGCTTAATCTGGGACAAGGCTGTAGCTTAAAGTATAATCTGATTCCAGACAACCCTAACCAACCAACTCTCTCTACACCCAGCTCTGAAGGAATGTTCCAGACTTTGAAACCACAAGCACGCAAACTCGAGCTTCATTAGGGGGAAACAGTCAAACTTGATTTTCAAGATAAAGAGATTAAGAGATATATATAATAATCATTAATCTGCATAATTTAGGGCGGAAGTGATTCACAGCCCATAGAGACAACACAGAAAGCAAGCCAGTCACATGCACAAACAGACACAAACAACCACAATCACAAAGGGCGCTTTACAGTCACCTGATCAGCATGTTGTCGGACTGTGGGAAGAAAGTTAGTGGAAACCTACATAAACACAGGGATTACGGTACATGCCAACTGTGCACACACCTTTATCAGGCTAGTTAGCCGATTTTAAATGCCTCCGTTATTTAAAGTGTCATATCAGGAGGCATCAAAAGCTAAGAAAGTCTATGCTTGTACCTTCTCCTGAGACACAAAGGTAGCACTTCTTCCGTCACCGGAATCATAGGAGAAGTCATACGTGAAGGTCTTGACCCGTTCCCGTACGGAATCGCCTGACATGCCTTCGGGAATCTGTGGAAGGAGATAACCGGTGATGTAGCAGGACAAGGGACATCTGGCCTCCCGGGGCGGGAATATGTGCGGAAACGAGTCAATTTCCAAGGGCCTCGAGGCCCTTATGACTCCCGGATGTGGGCATAACTCGTCAGCAGAATCTCACCTTTATGTTGGTTACAGACGTCTTGTTCCCCTCCATGTGAATGATGACTTTGGCAGATAAATCCTTTTCCCTGTAAGACAGAGAGACATACAAAAAGAAAAAGCATTATAACATCAGAGAGGCCCTCAGCTACCATGCTGCCAGTAGAATAAAGGGAGAGAAGGTACTTCACAGCACATTGCAAAGATGGAAACATCAGATCCACAGAAGGTCCATCCAGCCATCTGTCGTCCAATAGATCATCCAGTAGAGGGTCATTGCGGAAACGGGAGCCTAAGCTGGCCAGCGCAGGGCCCAAGGCAGGGGACACCCTGCATGCCAAGCTACTCCAGAAGCTGTAAGCGCTACATTCTTGCATATCGTGCGCTATGATTTATTTTGGCCAGCATCGGGTTGGACGATGGATGGATGGATGGATCCTGAAATCCAGTACTGAAAAACAGTCTGTCTCTTTTGAAATAACGGGTACGAATCAACTACTTCTCACAATAAATAATTTGAGTTGCATCTGATACTGGCATTAGATTCTAGTAAATTGAACAGAACAAAGAACAAACTTGCAGATAACTTTTACCTCCTGTGATTTTAATTATTTACTTGTATGTACCACAATTAAAGCACAGACTGTTTTTCCTGTGTGTGCAAAAGGATCTTTACAGTTCACTAAAAAGACAATAGTCATAAAACAGAAACCAAGAGAACTTTAGGAAGAATTAAATAGTAATGACCAGATTTACAATTTGTTTTCTGTACAGAGGTGCAAAGTCAATTAGTACTGTCATGAAGGATGCAAAATGACCTTAACATGCATTTGTTTTGATTTTTTTTCTTTTGATTTCCTTTCACCTAATCTACCAAATTAAGTCATGAAGCTCGAAAAAGGCTCTTCACCAAGCAGAGTGTAACTTCAGGGATATTAAGTGAAACTGTAACTGCTGCGATTTCCCCATCATCCCGAAAGCCCCTCAACGTGCCACCTTATGCATTACCGGTCAAAGGTTTTAGAGCGCCACATTTTTTCTTCGAATTTAACCAGTTTCAATCCAACAAATGACCGGAAATGACGAGGTAAGCAGTAAACTATCAGAGGTTAAAAAAAAGTTTAAATAAGCAAAAACTGAAAGGAGCATTGTAAATAGGGCCTTTTTCAGGGGCACGTGATAGGTTAGCAACTTACAGCTGTTCTGTAGCTATTAAAGTAAACAAAGCCTTGCAAGTTGAAGCACAGAATTTGCACGTGTCCTAACTTCTGTTGAAAACTTCCAGACCCTCTGTCTATATTAAAGTAATGTTGTGTTACTACAAACTATGAAGCAGTTCTTGGACAATACTGCACTGCAGGAAGATGTGTTATGAATGGCGTGAAAACAGCAATTAACAAATTAAATGAGACAGAACATTATAACCATTAGAAGCGTAAGGCTTTCACTTAGAAAAATTGCAAAGAAAATCCGAGTGTCAGTGTTTTATTAAAAATGTAAATAAAACTTTGTAAACTAAATGATTTCTTGATTTTTATTTTCTATTGTTTAGTTGTTCTGTACTTTGATTTCACTGAACATTGAGACATTAAACCTGCATACCGAGGGGACCTAGCGTGCCTTAAAGAGGAGCCCCCAAACTGACCACGTCACTTAACGCAGTCCGTCTCCCTGCATGTCACAGCGGTGTCACAAAAGAGGCAAGATCAGCCAGAAGATGGGGAACATATAACACTGTTTAATATGTTAAAGAGCTGTTTCCCCAAACCAAATAGACAAACAGGTTGCTTCCAGTAACACTGTAATTGTTCTTTTTGCCAAAAGGAGAATCACATGAATCACAGAATCACGTGGCCGAATGCGATCATCGGCTGCACTTCCTGGGACTGCCATTCTCAGCTCCAGAGGCTACAGTATGTGATCCCAGATCGGAACATGTTTGCACAACAGAGAGTAGCCCAAAGACTTCAAGGGGTACAATAAGGTGAAATTCTGAAGACCGCATTCCCAACTAAATCTCCCCTGTATCTGCAACACTGTACAGTCTGGCAGAGAAAAAACAGAACCAGGTGCTTTAACTCCTAAATAAAATCACCTCAGCATAGATTTACCCCTTTCCTGCTCTTTACTTTGTTCAGTCAGTCCTGCTAAACTGTCAACAACTATGAACAACCGGATTAGTCCTGGTTACTTGAATGATGCATTAATATCGGCAATCGTCAACTAATGCAAGCTGACCATGTCTTTTAAGATGAAAAAATTCTATTACCCAAAATAATTATACACACGGCAGCTAATTATCGCCAAAGTAATATTATAAAGGAATGACAACTACCTATTGCAGCACTCAAAATGTATGGCATAAATACGGCAATGATGAAATCGGTACGTGGGACAGTGACTGTTTTATTACAAGTTTGGGGGTTTGGTGCTTCATTTAACAGGCGCAAGGTGTCGATCGTGGTTTTGTCTGTTTACCATCACAGGGCATACATGCTTGACTCTGTTATTAGCTGCTCCATTAGCTACCGACCTATCGCCTAACGGCAAACTTCATAAAGATGATCGCATACAATCGTTGAAACTGGCACTGATCAGTCCGGGACACAACCTACCGTCTGTTCATGGGCCTGACGCGGACGGCGACCCGCACCGATGCCATTGCACATCCCTGAGGTCCTGTCAGCGTCACCTGCTTCACGCAGCGGCTTCCCAAACAGCCCGAAATCCCGGAGCACTGCCCCGTCAACACGGATCTGTTAAAGCCCCTTTCGCCGCTGGCAGAACAGGTTTGGCGTGATGTCTGTCTTTCCCTCTACTGATAAACTGAAGCGAGGAGTCTATCTGTCGTTGATCGTAGCTCACTTCCCATCGCGTTAAGGCTTTACTAGCTAACTATACTTGATTACTTTTCCCGCAAAGGGGTGACAAACTTCGCCGAGCATCGTCATCAGGCAAAATACAAAGCCGGTTCTCGCTCGCGGGAAGGACAAACAGCACCGGCGCAGAAACGCGTTTGGGAATAATGCCTGTTTCATTGCAGATAATGAGGGTGTGTGGCGCTGTGATAATAAACATATCTTGGAATTAGTGTATCTGTATAAAGAATAAAGAATAAAATTTACTAAATTACAGAAAACAGGATTCCATTATTATACCATTTATTTCTGAGTATAAAGACAAATAAATAACACAGAACTTGTATTTTCACTGATATAATAACATTTTCCACTGGATAATTTCAAATAAATAATGGAATTCATTGAAAATGAATTATATAAGATAATGTCCACGTTTGGTTGTGCACGAAATTAGGTAGGAACAGGAACTGATTATAACGGCTTTCGTATTTATTAGCAACTATTCGTGTTGCACACAGGAAGTGCGCTTAGGCGTGAGTTTCCTGATTGTGGTGCTACGTTCAAACACAGCGGCGTGAGTTTTTTCTTGTTTAATAATGTTTCTTTTTCTTGTATTACGTTAGGTTTATTTAAGCAATGCGAGTATGTAGTTCCAGTTGTATTGTTTGTTTTATTTGTTTCATGTTTAGCCATTTGCCTATCTTTTTATTTTGCCCGCTAAATTAACCTACGCTCATTGTCATTTTCTATGTACCGTATTTGAGCATTCACGTGTTAGTGTTTTGTTAGCTGTTGTTTTATTAAAAATAAACAATCAAAAAGTATTCTTATTTGTTAATCTATAATGTTAACTATAGTGACGTGGTTTGTTCAGTTTCTCAATTTTCAAATAGCACCATTCAGCATTCATGTATGTGTTAAGTAACATGATTATGCTAGTTGATTAAAGTGCTTTACTTTTTACAGAAGGAGGATCCAGAACACCAATCATGGATATACGGCCCAATCACACCATCTACATAAATAATGTAAACGATAAAATTAAGAAAGAAGGTACGCGCTATAACTTTTCTAATGGTTCTTTGTGCCTTTTCCCCCCCTAAAATCGGTCAGTGATTAATCACACTTGCCATAGTCTTCATACCTTATCAGTATATAATTAATATCCTGTCAGTTCATTGTCGGAGACCGCGGAATTGTTTTTATAATTATGACGCTCTTAGGAGTGTCACAGCAGCGCCATGTTAAACAGTCACCTCGCGGAGTCAAGGGTTCGAGTATCCAGCTCGGCTCTGTGTGTGTGGAGTTTGCATGTTCTCCCCGGGTTCTTGTGGGGTTTCCTCGGGGTTCTCTGCATCCCCCGCCCCAACAGTTCAAAAACAAGCTAAGGAGAATCTGAATTGCCAGACACTCTGTGGGTTAGAATGGTGTGTTCCCTGCAGTGGGTTGGCCCCTGTCCAGGGTTATTACCTGCCTTGCACCCACTGCTTCTGGGACAGGCTCCGTACCCCGCAACCCAATATCAGACAAGTGGCTGTGTGGAATGAATGAATGACACACTAATGGGTCATTAATGGGTTATTTTTGGATGATCTTGTTACAGAGTTGAAGAGGTCGCTTTATGCGTTGTTCTCCCAGTTTGGGCAAATCCTCGACATTGTAGCGCTTAAGACCATGAAGATGAGAGGACAAGCATTCGTGGTTTTCAAAGAGCTGACTGCTGCCACCAATGCTCTTCGGCAGCTGCAGGGCTTCCCCTTCTACAACAAACCCATGGTACGCTGTGATTTTCATTTTATTTCCCGTTGATTCTTTTTTTTTGTGGTTATATTTTTATTGTCATTCTGTCAATGTCAGAAGGCATATACAGGACAGAGATACCACAAGAATAAGTGATAAAAAAGCAAGAGAAAGGAGAAAAAGGGAAAAGAAAAGGGAACATAGAACAACTTTTCGCACTTGACTTTGCTGTTTGCAGCAAACTCATATAAACTAGACCAGGGTTCTTCAAATCTGGACCTCGATTCCAAATCCAGGCCTTGTTTTCAGTTTTCCCAGGTAGTTAGTTTAATAATGACTGATTCTGATTGGTCAGGGGCTTCACACCTGACTGACAGGTAAAGGAAGGCTGGAAAACCGGCAGTGCTCTGGCCTCGATGACCGTGATTTGAATAACCCTGAATTAGACCATTCAGAGAGTTGATTCATTTTTATAGGTAAATGGTCACGTTCTCATGTGTTCACATCTCTGTGCAGCGGATCCAGTATGCAAAGACAGATTCAGAAATTATTTCAAAAACGCGTGGCACATTTGGTGAGAAAGAGAAGAAGAAAGACAAGAAGAAAAAGACACAAGAACAGGCGCTGAATGCAGCCAAGAAACCTGCATCGGTAAATAAATGTCTGCTATTGCGATTAAAGTCATCTTTGGTGATATCTTGGTGCAACATATATGGAAAGGGAATGCATTTATTCAGTTGGAACAAGACTCGGATGTTTTTCATTTTGGGCCTGTCCAGCAGAACACATCACCAAAGTGGGATTATTGAATTTATTTATTTATTAATCTGTCTGTTTTGTTTCTTGTAGGGATCTGCTAACCCACAGGCGAATGCAGCCCCATCCCAGCAGGTTGGTGTCTGAAACACTAAATGCCAGTAGCTCATTTGTGTACATCAGAAGTAACAAATCTAGAAGGTCTGTGTCGCTAGGGTATCCGGAAATAATCTGTTTTATGAGTGGAAAATAGTGCTGATATGCATGCTTGATATGTTTTGTACCGATTTGAGGAAGCTGATCTGTTTTTCTAACCTGTAAAGTGACTGTTCATGGTACTTTACTGTAAACCACCCTCTTCCTTATTTCAGGTTCCCGATAATCCACCTAACTACATTTTGTTCCTCAATAACCTCCCTGAAGAAACAAATGAGATGATGCTCTCAATGCTGTTCAACCAGTAAGTAGAAACCTCCGTCCACCAGGATTGCCAGTAATGGTTCATTACCTAGTGGATTGTGTTTTTAAAATATATGTTCTAGCTATAACTCTTGTTAACCTATAGTAATCAAAAATATAAACTGTCTCTAGCCTAGGAAGACAACACTATTTAAAATGTATTAAAGGCAATCTTTTTAAAATTAAGTGTTAAATTTGTATTTCATACAGGCAAAAGCCTTAGTTTACTGGTGTTTAAACAAGCCGTTCTGTGCCCAGGTTCCCTGGTTTCAAAGAGGTACGACTAGTGCCAGGAAGGCATGACATCGCCTTTGTGGAATTTGAGACTGAAGGGCAGGCTGGCACAGCCAGGGATGCCCTCCAGGGCTTCCGCATCACTTCCACCTGTGCAATGAAGATCACCTACGCCAAGAAGTAGCCCGAAGTCTGGCTGGATGCTACTCCATGGACTGTGGAAGCAGATTTCTATTTTATATCTATTTTTTTTTTCTTTTCTAGAAAAAGTGAATTTGTGTTTTGAATAGAGTGGGGCTTTTTGAACATGTTGTTCAAAACTCAAATAAAGGACTTTTTTTATATATATGATTTGTTGCCATGTAATGCCATTCTAACATGGGACTGATCCTTATGTAACATCTACTGTTTTTGCTGATACATAACTTCAGTGGGATAGTGGAAATGCCAGACTCTAACCAACAAGAATCGGCATGCCTGTTCAGCTCCGGCAAATATGCCTGCAATACACCTAGAATATATATTTTCTTTTTAATGTGTCCCTGTTATCCTCACACTTTTTTTTGCTTAAATGTGGGTTTTTGTCTTGATAGTTCAGTGATTCATTAAAGCATATGAACGGTACAAATTGGCCGTGTACATATTAAGCTTCTTTTGACTTTTTTAATTCCCGTTTTGTTTGACGTTCCTTTTAATTGCATCTCGGCTCTCTTCCATAGTCCCCAGGTTCTGTTCTGGCAACTTTTATCGGCTCTTAAGCTCATTATGTCATTTATTAATGCTGTACCAGCACATTACCACGCAAATATCGTGCAGGGAAACATCTGGAGACTTTGCAAGCATTTTTGCTTCCGTTACTCGTCTTCTATTCTTATGCAAAAAGGGAACCTGCCATTTCTTTGCTGTTCTGTACATCGGTGATCATGTCATTAGGTTTTGCAAGCTCATGATGCCCTTACAGACAGGATGGACTTAGAATAACTTGTGGAGATTGTGAAAGTAACAGACTGAAGTTTTTGTGGTTTGCTGTAATGAGACGCGCGACATTATTCCAGAGGCCTAAATGTATAGAACCATCAGAAAGTTGTTTTTCAATCCCGCCAATGAACTGACAAGGGGTGCGGAATCCTTGCCTCGTAAAAGGACTGCCACTGATTTATGTGGTGTCAGGAAAATGTGGAGGAGAACAGTGTGGGATCCAAAACATAGGTGGGGTTTTAATGTGGAGCGGACAGCCTGACTTATGAAAGTAGCAGCCTGGAATGTGGGGGGTGTGTCTTCATTGGAAAGGGGGTTGGTTTTGTTGCCTATATTTCACCCATTTTTGTAGTAAGACTGAGGACTTTGACAAAGAGTTTCATGACCATCCGTCTCACCCACTTAGTTCCGCCAGAATGGCCCAACTGAGCCGCCTCGCGATTGTGCTGCTCACGCTGTGCGCTGTGTGCCGGCTCTCCTTCGCCTTCGCTATGGATAAGCTGGCTGACGCCAAGCTCTGCGTGGATGAGGAATGCTCGCGTAAGTGGTCGTGGAGACAAACATGAAAATACCATCGATCTGTGAGTTCTCTGTATCATTCTGGGTCCTCGCTTGTCATTAAGATCTTGTCTTAATTCTGGCTCTCAGGTACTATATCCGTGGCGAGGGTCATCGAGGACTTCATTGCTCCGGATTGCAGGTTCATCAACCTCAGGCAGGGTCAAACAGTGTATGTCTATTCCAAGCTGGTGGCAGAAGAGGGTGCAGGTGTCTTCTGGTCTGGAAGTGTATGTAACTATATTTTATCATGTAATGTTGGGGGTCTTTAGTCATTATAAAGGCCTCTTAACTACATCTCTGTATGGATAATTTGGAAATCTAGCTTGCAGAAATCAGGGAGTAGCAGACAACCCTGCAAAACCCCTTCCTTGAACTGATTTACCTGTTAGCTTACAGCAATCTAGGGTAGGATTCATGTCCAGACATTTTCCAGCTGCCTGCGACGCTGAACGCAAACAGACACACCCTGAATCCCTTCAGTAACCAACAGTGATACTTTGATCAGTCTTGTTCTGTTGCAGCTGGAAGCAATTTTACATTTTGGCCATGAGGGGGTTGTTGGTGCAGGGTAGGTCCCCATTGTGACTATTGTGGTTGTACTGGGGCCAGGCCAGTGTAGTTGCTTCCGGCTCAAGGAACTGTCAGCGCCGGTTCTGTTTTCTATTAGTTCCCCTGGCGTACCTCTGAAGGAGACTCTCCCCAATGTGTGGCAGGTCTACAGTGACAGGTATGTGGAGCAGATGGGAATTGTCGGCTACTTCCCCAGCAACCTGGTGAAAGAGATGCATGTGTTTGAGAAGGCAGAGGTCGAGCTTCCCACTCAGGTAGGCTTCCAGTGCAGAAGCTTTTGGAATGAGAGATAAAAGAAACCATGACAAACACCAGTTCGTTTTAATTACTGTGCACATGTTATTAAGGAATGTGGATGGCTGGATGGATGGAACATCCCCTTTGTTCATTCAAATGTTTCTTTCTTCACAGGGTGTTGACTTCTACTGTATTTGAATCTCAAAGGAGGAAGTAACGAGAAACTGCCTTACATTCATATTGTATTCCTTCTCCTCTTGTATTTCCTTTAATCTGCCTTGGGAAAGGGGAAGTGCTCAAAAGAAGGAGAAACCTGAAACCAGGCGTCTGTCTCCGACATGCATCTCGTCTTGCTTTGATATATATCCCGCATTCATATAAATATATAGCGTGACTGTTTTTTTCTCCAATAAAATGTGTTGCCCATTTGGAAATGTTGTACGGTAGATTTGAATTAAATAAAGAAAAGTGGGTAGACAAAAAAAAGCAAACCGAACAATCATACTATCATTTTTATGTTTTTATATTTCGACTGTTAGAAATATAATTAAATTATGGAGTTCCGCAATGTCCAATCATCCATTAGCACTCTTATTATTAATAATGATGATAATACGTAACTAACCCCTTTTGGGGTAATTCTCTTTCCGCCTCCCCCATCTTGTTTCTCATGACACACAGACACGCATGTAGGTGCCAGCAAGCTTGGGAGTGAGGGGCAGCCACCTGTAGCGGCGCCCAATGAGCTCGGGGTTAAGGGCCTCGCTCAAGGGCTCACAGACATGGGACAATTCTGCTGGGGCTGGGCTTCAACCGCCGACCTTCCAATTACAGGCACAGAGGCTTAGCTCACTGAACCACAGGCTGCCCCCTACTGGCCAAGGATGAAACATCACATTAACAGGAAACGAGATAAAATTAGATTTACATATGGCTTGTAAAAGACAAGGTAATGAAATGAAACTAGTTTCTCTGGAAGCCTGGTACAAGATGGAGATATAGGCAGGGGCCCCATAAAGGAAGGGGGGGGGGGTGTAGGACGATTCCAAGGGTCCCTGAATGACCTGGGCCCCATAAAGGAAGGGAGGGAAGTTAGGGTGATTCCAGGGGCCCCTGAATGACTGGGGCCCCATAAATGTTCAAACATAAGTAGATTGGTCTGAACTGAGGGCCCAAAATCTCTAGCAGCACCCCTGGGTATTGGGTTCAATCATAAACAATAACAGTATAAAAAGGAAGCAATAAAGTACTGGGAAATTATTGGCTGAGGACACATCCATCCATCCATTGTCTGTAAATAGAAAAATCTAAAATGACAATCTGAGTTTGTTATACTGTTATGTTGTTCTATTCTTCTCCCATATTCTGTTCCTTAATTATCATGTTTAGGTTATTCAGATGCAATGGGTGAGAAAGTGGTATGACCACTGATTGTCCAGTAGAGGGCGATAAAATAACGCTAGAGAAGAGCTGCGCTCCGAGAAGAATGTCGTTCAGTTAAAGTACCATTTCATTATAACCAGAGATGTAAATTGAAAACTTCAAGCGAGTGTTCTAATGTCTTTTTACCTCCTGTTACCTAACTAATAAATAGTTCAGTCCATACAATAACAAATTCAAATCTGTGACTAAATAACTGTGTCTCGCAATAGCTCCAAACTGCGGTGTAGATATGATTTTGTCTGTTCATTAGACACGTTGGCTATCATTCATGCTGATGCAATTACCTAAAGTGCATCATTTTATAGCATTACGGTTGTGCCAGTTCTGGAAATCTCACAGAGTAAAATACAATTCTGGCAAAAACAGCAGTAAACCCACTGCTTTCCAAAAAAAAAAGAAAAGAAATGAGTTCCTTGGTCTGACATGTATCTCCTGCCCCCTCCCTCTTCCCACCCCCGGGAATGGATCTGCTTACAGCAGCATACTATGCTCAGAATGACAGGGGCACCATTGTTGATAATGTAAAGATTGTTACACGATGTGCTCTCTTTAGCACAATCTAGCCTGGCTTGTTGGAAAAGGTGTCCTTCGAGTTGGTCCATTGAAATTGAAATAGGTTTTCCCCACACGCGCATGCTCTCTCTCTCTCTCTCTCTCTCTCTCTCTCTCTCTCTCTATCTCTCTCTCTCTCTCCCCAACCTTGGAGGAAGCTGAGTGGTTGCTATGGAGTTTAGCTCTTGTTCGGTTGTGAATCGTACTTGGTAAATTCTCAAAGGAGATGGGGGTGAGGGGGCGGAGGGGTGGTGGGTCTAATCTGAGGCATTGAAGTCTCTTTTCTGTCTCACATCAGGTGCAACAGGGCATGGATGATATGGTATATACAGAGAACAGCATCATCGACAGCCAGCGGACTACATTACTGTACCCTAACCGTTACCTGCTGTCACTCTCAAGACTAAAAATTCAAGATTCAATTTTTTTTTTAATCATTGTACATGACAGCACAACAAGACTGAGGCGGCAGATTCCCGAGTGCAGAAAACAAAACACAAGAATGGGCAGAACAAGACATGTGACATTTAACAATATGTACAAAATACAGAACAGTCAATGAATAAATGGAAATCAATAAATATGTGCAAAGTACATTGGATAAATAGTATATGGTGGTGGGGTTGAAAGTCCTTCAGTGCCCAGTTCAGCCTGGTTACCACACTGGAGTAAAGATTGTTCCGGTAGTGTTCTGCTGTGACTGCCCTGTACCTTCTACTGGATGATGACAGTTCAAACAAATGGTGTTGAGGGTGTGAACACCATTTGCTTGCATGCAGGGTGTGAGCACACTTTTGACTCTGCGAAGACAATAAGAGTTATAGATGTCTTGCTGGGAAGGTAGTGGAGTTTGACTCCCCGTCAGACACCTTTTGTTGCTTGCATACATGACCCCTTTAGGGTGGGAAATGGCTTCAGGGGTTTGGGTTTGGCCCAAGGTAAAGTTCTATGATGGACGTCTCCAGGGTTGAGGATTAACAACTGAACCAGATCCAGGCCTCGTGTTGCCTGGTCAATGAAGGTAAAACTGTTATTCCATTATTTATGATTCATTCGCAACGTCCAAAGCAGCAGTCGGGGGTCGACTCCACTCTTGTTCATTCTGTGCTATTTGTTTTGCCAAATCATGTTGAAATGACTGAAGAACCTAGCAGTCTGCCAATTTCAAACCCCACAGCCCTATGTACAGTCATTACACGTTTTGTGAAAGATCTACTTCCTGTACTTTCACCCGCACTGAATTCCCCAGTTAGTCATGGCCACACACCACCACAAGAGCTCCAGATGCAAATAAAACACAGTCTCTCAGTATAATTTATACCTAATTTATAATTTATACCTACCTTAAGATAATCCGGTTCGAGGAAATTGCTAAGACGGTATTCAGCCGGCAACCTTTCTGAAATGCCACGTTACAATGGACTGCAGGGGGAGACTGATGAGGCTCCAGCTTTGTTTGCTCGTCAGAGATTGTGTGCCATTGTCACTTTGTTTTGGTGTTGATTAATTTCTGTTGGGGTTGCAGCCGTCGCCGTGGGTGTAAGATGGAGTGGAATAGCTGCAGGAGGAGGTAATTACCTAGGCGAGCGCATGTTCCCCCTGCCCCCTATAGAAGTATTGGTGCAACATGCAGTTTTAAACAAATAGCGTGTTTATTTTCCAAGTGTCAAACCTGCAATAACACTCAAATAATAAGGTAAAGTAAGCCAATATATATCTAGCTTATTTATTATTTTGAGTAAGATAAGTTGAATGTTAGTGATATTTTTTATTTAATAGGCAAAATACTGGGAAAAAATGGAATAGGGGGATATTTTATAGGCCTGTGATATGTATTGGAGGAATTGCTATTCATGGGTGCTATAAAATGATAGAGGCTGGCCTGAAGCACTGTAGGTTCACACTGGTCACACAACTCCTGGTCTGTCGGGTGTTGAGGTGGCCGAACTGCTGAGCTATGCAAATGTTCCAGCTGCCCCCGAGGGGAGCGGCACAGTTTAACCTTGAGACAATGGTAGTGGCAGTCTCGGAGGGGGGGGGAGTTAATGGTGGCAGTACACCTTCATGAATATGCAAAGGTGAACAGGCAAGACTTTTGTATGATGATGCCGGATATGAATCCGTAGGGAACCGTATCTGCAAAGTGACACACGGTTCGTGACGGTCGAGAGCCGCCGAGGTGCACTTTGAGGTTCCTTACATTGCCGGCTGCCGCCCACATACCTGAGAGCGAATCTCTTTCCAAACCCTTTTCTGTATTCATGGTTGACTGTCTGACTCTTTCAGCTCTTGTTGTGTTGCTGTGGTGAGGAGCTTCACCCTGTTGGATGATGAAGGTCTTTCATGTGAGTTCATGGTGAGACATTATCTGAAATCAATTACAGCACCTTGTTAATATACTGTATAGCGACTTAGGGTTAGGGGCTGTATCGCAGTCATAGGCTCCCTTTCTGTATAGAATGAGGGAAAATAATTAATTGCATATTTTTAGGCTTGCAAATTATTTACTGAGTACATACTACTCTGGAAAAAAATACGAGACCACTCCATATTTAAAGAAAAAGTCTGCATTTTTAAATCCTGGTTTAATCCTGGTTTAATCCTGGCAGTAAGCTACACGGCAGGTTACTTCCAAGCTCAAAGTGTCTAAGACAACAGTACGCAAGAACAAGGTGAAACGGGAGACACTGTCAATGACCAAAAACCAGCCAGGTAAAGGGCAGCAGTGACTTTCTAATGCCGGAGATGATCATCAACTTATCCGACAGTTTCTCATGAATCGGAAGATGTCATCAGGTGACCTTCAAAAGGAATGGGAAACATTAAGTGGTGAGAAGTGCACTGCTAGGACAGTTCATATTAGTATCCTAGAGGCAGGCCTGAAGTCCTATAAAGCAAGGAAGAAGCCCTGCATCAATGAGAAGCAGGGAAGAGCCAGGCTGGAGTTTGCAATATATATATAATCTGCTGGAGTCAGTCCTTTGGGAAACACTGTGCTCTGATTTACTAATTGCACCAATTATTAAAGAATTGCTAACATCTGGTCGGTCTGGAGGACATGAGTCAACACAATTCTGCAGAAATGAGTATAAAAATGCATTCTGAGGGTTTCAGAAGATGAGAAGCTATCCAAGGCACAAATTTCCTGTTCGATCCAAGCGGCACTCCAACACAAAGCCGTAATAAAAAAAAACAGGTACCACAATTCTCCCGAGCAAAAGGAACCATGAAGCCCACAGTGGCTCTGATATAATCCAGCTTTTATTAAAGTACGGGGACACGAAGGCAGCTGGATATCGGTTAATGATCAGAAACGTGCGGGCGCATGCTAGTAGGGTAATATGAGGCTTGATTACCAGCATCAGCGGCGCTGTAGTGTGATTCATGGACCGGGGGTCCGAAGCACATGCATCTGCATGCATTAAGCCGCATTTCCTTTCCGACGTCACGCTCTCTCCGCGGGGCTGCATCAAGGCCGTCACTTTGCACGTCCTCGC